GGCATGAAAAAATAATGGGGAAGAAAAAGTATGAGAGCATATATGAGAATCATGCATAGGAGGGTGTGATTTGTTATGTGATTTGGTATATATATCACACACTCAAAAGTCTCACACAATACACCATTTAATGAAATACATTAAAATCAGTAAGTTTTTGAATACCACAGTACTTTTTTTTATCTATTAAAAGTCCTAATTGAATACCATCGGACTTGTATTGATTATTTAAAAATCCTAATTGAATACCACCAGACTTTTATTGTTTACTTAAAAATCCTAATTGAATACTGCTGTATAAAATTAGAGGCAGCAGAGCGGCGGACATGAGTTGTGCAGCAGCTGCGTGCAGGAGCGCGAGAACCATGAAAGCGGCGGTGCTGTATCACTATCCTTGCCCAGACGGTGCGTTTGCTGCTTTGGCCGCCCACCTCTACTTCTCAGCCATGTTTGTTGAAGAACCCCTCTTCTTCCCCAATACCGTCTACAGCCCTATCACCCCCCAACACCTCCCTCTCCACCAGATCGACCGCCTCTACCTCCTTGACTTTGTGGGTCCCCCTGGTTTTGTCCAGGAGATCTCTTCCAGGGTCCCCAACGTCGTCGTTCTGGACCACCACAAGACTGCCCTCGAAACGACGCGCATTGGTGAAAACGTCACCGGCGTCCTAGATATGAACAGGAGCGGGGCCACCATTGCTTTTGATTACTTCAAAAGCAAAATTGACGGTGACAGTGGCCCCAAGAACGAGGTGGTGGTTGCTCAGTTTGACAGAGTGAGGAGGCTGTTCGAATATGTGGAGGATGGGGATCTCTGGAGGTGGAGCCTCCCCAATAGTAAAGCTTTCAGTAGTGGGCTCAAAGATTTAAACTTTCAATACGACGTCGGCCTCAACCCGTCTTTGTTCCAACAAGTAATTTGCTTGTTTCTGTCTTAATAATATAGTTGAATTCGTTTTTAAAAATTTATGATCTTTTTTTTTTGGTTCCCCTGAGCAGCTGCTTTCTTTGGATTTGGAGTCCTTAATTAGTCAAGGAATGGCAAGCTTATCAAAAAAGCAGAAATTAATAGATGAAGCTCTCAATCGGTCTTATGAAATTGCACTTGGGGGTGGAGCCTTTGGACATTGCCTGGTATGTACTTCTTCTGATTCTCTGCATGTAAAAGATGGAAAATTGATTGTAAATGCATAATCTTTTTGTAGGCTGTCAACGCAGATTCTATCTCAGTGTTGAGGAGTGAACTCGGACATCAATTAGCTACTAAAAGCCGTAGTCTAAACTTAAGGTTTGTGGCATTCTACTTATTCACTCATGTTGTCTTGAAATATATGCATTTCTCGGATTTGTGTTCTGTTCATTCATTCTGTGTTGTTGAAAATTAACTTGGTCACTTTATGAAATGGATGGTATCTGTGGGATTCTGTTCCTTGTTTGTGATTTTTTTTTCCAAGTTTCTTGGCTTGGTTTTGCTTTCTTTAGATGTGCTGCTGATTGCCACAGTGTATTTTACTTATCACATTCCAATTTTTGTCTTTAAATGTTTCATCCACAAACAGTGTTGAATGCAGAAAGCTATAAGTGGACTCAAACAATTGCATGATGAATTTAGCATTTTTCCTCCTTAGCCATAAATGATTATAGCATTGGAGTGACATCTCATATAGGAGAAACTGGTTAGTTTCCTCGATTATTATGGTTTTTCATACAATTGCGGTCAAATTTCATTTTTTTTCTTCTCATATTTATTCAATGGAGAAAATACCCTTAGTTGACAGGGCAACTAATAGTAGATGCTCAGTTGTGGTCCTCGTAAAGGGGAAGCTACTCAATTCTGGAATCCCGTCCTCCAGAAACAGAGCTTTCTTAGATTCTTAGTCCCTTTCTATCCATTCTCTCTGAAGCGGTCATAGAACACGTCTTATGAGCTCCTCCATTTGGGAAAGCAGTTCCTCAACTATCAACCACAGTAATCTTTTCAAGAGCTGCATTCACGAGTATGATATTGTCAAACAAGGAATTTATTTGAGGAACCAGTTCCTCCGTTTGGAAATGGCTTCACAAATAAAATCTTTTATGAAGATTTTTTACTGGGTAAAAAGTCTGGTGGATTGTATATTCGTTCATATAACCTATGTTAGAATCCTTTTTCACACTGTTTGAGTAAAATTCATGTTTCTGTTTGAGATTGATGTGGAACGGATGGGCACATCCTGCCATCTGCATTTTTCAGAACTTTATCCATTATATTTTGTTAGTAAGATGGGAAATTGGCTTTTATCTCTGTTTATTGAGGTTGTTCTCTACAATAGCATGTTGATATACTTGACATTGGTTTTCATCACCTCCTGTGATTTTACCCTTGTGGATTTCAAATGCACATTCAATAACTTGTTTGATATGTATTTTAAGGTGTCACTAAGATGTCTGTTTCTTCATCCTTCCGATTTTGTATGTCCTTTTTTTCCCTTTCAAATTCTCTTTAGGGGTATTGGGGCTGTTGTATACAGAGTCCCAGAGCTTGAAAATGACCAAATGCTTAAAATAAGCCTTAGGAGTGTGGACACCGAAGACACAACGCCCATCTCACAGGTTGTTCCCTCATCACAGATGATTCCTGCCTGTTACATGGCATGGCATGGCATATATAGTACTTTGAAAAAGCTAAAATCGAATTTGCATTTTCTTCTCAGGAGTTTGGAGGCGGTGGGCATCAAAGCGCTAGTTCCTTCATGTTAGGCTCTGCAGAATTCGAGCAGTGGAAGATTGGCTTCGTTGCTTTGTAACATGAAGCAATTACTGCTGGCTGTCCAAAATTTACAGGACAACATGGTGGTCAAAATGTTTGTCGCTCTGCATAATTTTGGAACAAGAATATCTTGCAGTACTATTGTTCTTCAAATTTTATTACATCAAAAGAGACGCGGGATGAAACCAGCAGAGGAAACTGTAAAGACCTCGAAGAAATTAAACATTGAGTGGCATACACACAACATTACAAACTAGAGACCGTAAACATTATTATGCCATTAGTTCAAGAGGCCAACATCGAAATCCAATTGCTAAAAATGTTGCACACAATTTTATTCCACAAGTAACACCCCACCCAAAGCACCTCCGGAAAGAGGTCGAGTCGACGTCAAAATCTCTAGACTAGGAGTCATCTGATAATCTGACTCTAGAGAAGCCACCAACCAAACCATGCTAGAATGGCTAAAGCCAGCCAAAGATAATTAATCAATCTACAAATTGATGAAGGATATATAATGAAAAAGCCTTACAAACTTGGTCTGGTTTTCTTTTATGAAATCGTGTATGTATGTTTTATTTTATTGTAAGAAAATTGCATCCGTGTGCATGCATTTTTTCAAGTTATTTACCACCAATCCAGCCATCAGATCCAAAAACTCAGGGAAATATTTAGTTAATTAGTTTGTGAAGGGGACATGAGAGAGGTGCTCTTCAGCAGTCATAGCAGGGTTAGTAGAACACTGGTGCATCCATGGATCATCTGTGATGAACTGCATCCATGAATCGTCTTTTTCATCTTCCTCCAGGCATGACGATGCTGTCATCGGAATATCCGGTGACATGGTTTCACAATCATTAAAATTTGTAGTACTAGCAGTGGTACCTTGTGATGATCTTTCCTGAATTAGGGATGCACTATATTGCCCTTGCTGCTCTTCCATCTCCGAGCAAATACCATTTTTCTTGAACACGCGACATAATGCGAAAGAATCCTGCATGCGCGTTAGGGTTACGTTCGTGGTCATGCTCAATATTAGTTACCCTTAAATTCATATCATGCAACTTAGTGAGGAGGATGTAAAATTCAAAACTAGTTAAATTAAAATTGTGCAACAAAAAATACACGAATGAGGATCGTGATGAAGTTAATAATTTTAATTTTAAATTCTTACGGTAAAAGCGTAAAGGGGATGCGGATAATATATAATTGATATTGTTTTGGACTTTGGAATAAAGTAAAAAGTCCCCGACACCTTCTTACAGAATGAACGTGATGCGGACTGCGGAGGGTGGCTGCTTTTTGTGGTTTGGAATAAGCCAAATAACTTAATTAGGTTTAGAATCGTCAAGTCCAGATATCATAGAATGATTAGATGCATGATTAAGCCTAAATACAATTCCTAAGCTTGAGTTAAAGGGATATCTTCTGAATCATGCGGAGGATTGTACTTTTGTCTCATTACAAAAAGACAAAGCGAAGCTCATCAGCTTTTTGTCACTAATAAGAGATCTCGAAGTGATCCAGTGCAAGCAACGAATATGTCTGTGTGTCAGGGATTTGAAGGATCGATCTATTTCAAAGGGAACGGTAGGGTAGGGTAGGGATATTGGAATAGTAGACAAAACACTCAGGTATATGAGATCTGTGTGTTATTCATAAGCTTCCAATTCCATTTCCATGCAACTCATGCAAGTTTTACGTTCCTAGATTTTTCATTCCAAAGCTCTCTGATTGATTGCTGCTAGTATACTATAGTAGCTAGTGTTTTATTATTAGATTGTTAATGAAGCTAGCTTGCTTTTGCATCCCACGCTGTAAAAGAGGTGGAAATTATAATAAAAGCAAGATAAAAGAAATGCTTTTCTTACTGACTCAAGCATGCTTGATGCTTTTCGAGTCAAATAGATCGATCGTCACATGTGTCAAAGAGTCATTCAGAATATATAAACAAGTATATTAATTTCTATAATATTTTATATACTAATTAGCAAAATGATATATACATATTGTGGTGATTAAATTAATTGAAGTGACGAAAATTATTTAATGTGCCGCACTGCACTCTTTTATTTTTATTTTTATTTTTATTTTGTAAGGTGATGAGTAACATGATCAGTTCCATTCCATGCATGCATGCAACCATATACTACTATATTAAGTAATTAATTAATCATATGCGTGGATTAAATGTATATATATATATATATATATTTTTATGACGGTACCTACCTGAATGGCGGCACAAGAGGATGAGGAAGAGGAAGAGGAAGAGGCGTCGTCGGAGCACGAGTCCTTGTCATCAAGGCGATATTCGTGCATGACCCAATCGGTGCGAATTCCTTGTGGGGCTCGCCCTCTGTAGTAAACTAGTGTCTTCTTCATTCCTATGGCTCGATTTTGGCATGTCACTCTCCTATCTTTCCCAGTCGATTTCCAGTATCCTGCTCTCGTCGCTCTGTTTGTTCTAAATCCATTTGGGTATTTTCGATCCCGGGGTCCAAAGAAGTACCACTCCGGGTCTCTACTTGGCAAAAATGATTTCTCTGCACACAACATACATATATCAATATCATTTTTCTCTGTGTGTGTGTATTTTCTTATAACTAACATTGACATGCGACACAAAACTAAGCAAATATAAAACAAGTATATATTTGTATATATAGATCGAACTGGAATAATCATATCGAGGGTAATGAATTAAGATTAAGAAGGTAGTAATTAAATTGAAGATGGATGATCGATCATCACCTGCTAATTCCCAAGGCTCGCATTTGTAGAGATCAACTTCAGGAATGATATCAAGCTCAATCTCTTGGCCATTAATTTTCCTCTTGAGATAATAATTCACAAGCTCTTCGTCTGTTGGATGGAACCTGAAACCAGGAGGTAATCCCACTGGCGCCATTAATATATATGATGATCAGAGCTTCCTGTGTGCACTCACGCAACGCACGCTTGCTTTTCAGTATGATTAATTGTGTTCCTTCCCTGGTCGTCGTCCTTGATTCTCCTTGCTGCTAGCTCTAGCTACCTCTGATCGATGATTTATAGCACCATTCATGCATCATGGTCAGTTTATATATAAAGGAAAAGACTCAAAGTCCCTTATTTTCATCTTCAGGACCTCACTTTATCTTTTCCAGATTCTCAGACAAACCTTCTTCTTATTGACTCTTCCTGCATTTTTTTTCATCTTTTTATTTTTTTTGTCATTTGTTATATAATATATATATATATATATATATATATATATATGTATATATGTGTATTCAATTCATGTTTTCAAATAAAGATACTTATCTTGCTAGATTGGGTATCTAAACCACACATACTGACTTAATTAAGTTAATCATCAAAAACATTTTCCTATATATGAATTAACATATGCATATAACTTTTGAGTTTATTTTTTATTCTTACAAAGTTACAGGTAACAGCATTGGGGTGTTACCTTACCTACACACATATAATGCAAGTGTTATGTGTAGATACAGTACAAGCAGCAACATCGATTCATTTGCTGGGAAATTTATTATTAAAAAAAAAAGGACTCTTTAAACTTTTGTCTTTATTAATCAAGAGCATATACATTCCGACCAACAACACCACAAAAAGCTGCATATACAAGTCACCACAGTGGCAAATGTGTTTCTCGTTGTTGCAAAATTAATTTGGGGTTAACACGCATGCAGTATATCTACTACTCTCCTGGTAAATTGGGGAAGTATATATATACATACATATATAGTGACATCACCACGATGACAAAGACGATGATGATGACGACAACAACGAGATATATATATTTGTGTGTTTGTGTGTGGATTAGTATAATAATTTAATTTGTTGCCTTCTTTTTGCTTGTTTCTTGTACTTTTATCTAGCAGCTATTACCAAGTCTTAATCATGCTTTAGTCAGTGTTACGAGACAATTTAATTACTGGGTTGTTGTATTAGAAAAGTGCGAGACAATTCATAAGTTATTAGAAAAGTGCCCTACGTTTTAAATAAATGAGATTGGAAAATAAGATGAGGGGAAGAATTCTGGCTTACCTTTAATTTTCTTCCGGGAGTTAATAAAGAATCAAATCTGGTTCAGTTCAGATGATAACTTGATCGATTTGGTCACCTTCATAAAACGCACCCCCAACCAACCCGCCATTGTTTGTGAGGGAGTCGTTAATTTGGTCCCAAAGACGAAGACAAAGCCAAAGCCAAAGCCAAATTAACGAACAAGGAAATGTTATGGTTGGCCACCGCAAGACTACTCACTCGACGCCAATTTGTTGACCAATTTACAACTCAACCGCTTGCCTTAGTGATACTAGTAACAACAACACACTGCTTTTCCACAAATACCCTCACTTCTCTCGACTCTTATTATGCAAACCTTGTTCAAGCCTGCATTCGATCTAAATCTCTCCCTCAAGCCAAGAAAATCCATCAACTTCTCTTGAAAAACACTACCCGCCTCAAGGACACCTCCTTTTTACTTGAAAAGGTAGCCCATTTGTATATAACCTGCAATCAAGTTGACCTCGCATCCCGCGTGTTCGATGAAATTCCCCAACCAAGTGTTATTCTTTCGAACCTTCTCATAAGAGCATACGCATGGAATGGACCCTTTGAACGAGCCATCCACTTGTACTATCACTTGCTCCAATCGGGTGTTAAGCCCACTAAATACACTTACCCCTTTGTTCTCAAGGCCTGCTCAGGTTTACAAGCACTGGAAGCTGGTAGAGAGATACATGAGCATGCCAAAGCATTTGGGCTTGCCTCTGATATCTATGTTTGCACTGCTTTGATTGACCTCTATGCCAAGTGCGGGGACTTGGTAGAGGCACAGACTGTCTTCCATGGTATGCTGTATAAAGATGTCGTGGCATGGAATGCTATGATTGCCGGGTTTTCGCTTCATGGTCTTCATGATGACACTATACAAATGCTTGTTCAAATGCAAAAAGCGGGAACAAGTCCAAACGCTTCCACCATTGTTGCAGTTCTTCCCACAGTTGCACAAGCTAATGCATTGAGCCAAGGGAAGGCAATGCACGGTTTCTCCCTGAGAAGGAGCCTTAGTGGTGAAGTGGTGCTTGGAACTGGGCTTTTGGATATGTATTCTAAATGTCAGTGCATAGCTTATGCGAGGAGAATATTTGATGCAATTGATGTCAAGAACGAGGTTTGTTGGAGCGCAATGATAGGTGCATATGTGATATGTGACTCTATGAGAGAGGCGATGGAGTTATTTGATGAAATGGTGCTAAGAAAGGAAATAAATCCAACACCGGTAACTCTTGGGAGTATACTCCGTGCTTGCACAAAGCTAACTGATCTGAGTAGAGGGAGACGGGTACATTGTTATGCAATTAAATCTGGGTTTGATTTAAATACAATGGTGGGAAACACAATCCTGTCTATGTATGCAAAGTGTGGGATCATAGATGACGCAGTCAGATTCTTTGATAAAATGAATTCAAAAGATACAGTTTCTTATAGTGCTATCATCTCAGGCTGCGTGCAGAATGGTTATGCAAAGGAAGCTTTACTTATATTTCATCATATGCAATTGTCCGGGATTGATCCAGATTTGGCAACCATGGTGGGTGTTTTGCCAGCTTGTTCACATTTGGCTGCTCTACAACACGGGGCCTGTGGACACGCTTATTCAATTGTTCATGGCTTCGGTACTGACACCTCAATTTGTAATGTCTTAATAGACATGTACTCAAAGTGTGGGAAGATTAATAGAGGTAGACAAGTTTTTGACAGAATGGTTATGCGGGATATTATCTCATGGAATGCAATGATAGTTGGTTATGGGATTCATGGCCTTGGGATGGAAGCTATTTCACAGTTCCATCATATGCTGGCAGCTGGCATTAAGCCCGACGACGTGACTTTCATTGGTCTCTTATCTGCTTGCAGCCATTCGGGGCTTGTCACCGAAGGCAAACACTGGTTTAATGCTATGAGTGAGGATTTCAACATAACCCCGAGGATGGAACATTACATATGCATGGTGGATCTTCTGGGCCGGGCTGGACTTTTGGCGGAGGCACACGTTTTCATCCAAAAAATGCCATTTGAGGCTGATGTTCGTGTGTGGAGTGCATTGCTTGCTGCATGTAGGGTCCACAATAATATTGAACTTGGGGAAGAAGCATCCAAGAAAATTCAGGGGAAAGGACTCGAAGGTACTGGAAATTTGGTCCTTCTATCTAACATATACAGCGCTGTTGGGAGATGGGATGATGCAGCCTATGTCAGAATCAAGCAGAAGGGCCAAGGCCTTAAGAAGAGTCCAGGATGCAGTTGGGTTGAGATAAACGGGATTATTCATGGATTTGTTGGTGGAGATCAGTCCCATCCTCAATCAGCTCAGATACATGAAAAACTAGAGGAACTACTAGTAGATATGAAAAGGCTGGGATATTGTGCAGAAAATAGTTTTGTTCTCCAAGATGTTGAGGAAGAGGAGAAAGAAAGAATCCTCCTTTATCATAGTGAGAAGCTAGCCATTGCTTACGCAATTCTTAGTCTGAGGCCAGGCAAACTGTTGTGTAGATACAGCTGCACCAAAATGGATTAAGCTGCATCCTCAACTTGTGATACTCGCAAGTGCACGAACCGTTGGTAGTATAGCATATGTAAGTGCGAGGTCGATTCCACAGGGATTGGTGATTGAATGATCCAATTTAGTTTCCCTACACAAAATAGAAACAAAAACAAAGAACATAAAACAAGGAAGAAAGAAATAAGTAACTCAAGCAAATAAGTTCCCAAGTTCAATTTAGATTAATGGATTGATTCTAGCTAAAGTATGATTAAGCCATGGTGTGTGGTCATAACCTTGTGTTCCTAATTCCCTAATTTGATCATTTGTTGTCTAACCTAAAATTAAGCATTAGGAACCCATTAAGCATAGAAGAACAATTTAAACAACCAAGCATGTATCTAATCCCTGTTGTCGAATGTCCATACATACTCTTC